TGGGAACAGCTAAGATACTGCGCAGGACCCTCAAGCTCCCAGGCCTCTGGTAGAGGACCCGAGCTTGAAGGATAAACCGCCCGCAGGGGCGTGCTGGGTGTTTTTATATATATATATATATAAAAATAACAAAGTAGTCTCTAAATGAATGCTTATTTGATAAACACCATATAAATGTAGTTACACTAAAATACACTTCAAACACTCAATCAAGACTTCAGCATTTAAGAGAAGTGGGTTAGAAAATGGCTTAAAGTGTTTCTCTAAGATTGTGTCTAATAACTGTCACAAGCCTCATATCTTATTTAGCATCTCATTCCATTGTTGATGACCCACAGATTTACCTACCACTGAAACGTAAATCTGTGAGTCCTCTGAAGGGTTTGCTAGATTGTTTGGAGGATGTCAAGGTATGGACGGCTTTCAACTTTCTTAACTTAAATGCACAGAACACAGAGGTCATTGTGTTTGGTCCCTGTGACCACTATGACTTTGGCCCTTTATAAATGTATAAAAAACCCTTTGTGAAGAACCTAGCAGTGATTTTTGACAGTATGAAGTACAGTATGTTTGACACACAGATTAATACAGTTTCTTTCATCTCTGTCTGCTTGCAAAAATGAAGCCATTCCTCTGTTTTACAGACTTTGAGAGAGCTATCCATCCTTCATTTCACCTGACTTTTGTAATAGTGTCAGACTCAGGTGTCAGTCTGTCATCAGGTAGCCGACTGCAGTTGGTCCAAAAAGCTGCAGCACTGACTGGCACACGCAAGCGAGACCATACTAGCATCCTTACACTAGCTGCCAGTTAGTTTTCAAATTGATTTTAAGATTTTATTATTCGTTTTTAAGGCGTTGCACGCGTTAGTCCCCTCATAGCTTTCTGATCGTTTAAATCGGTACACTCCTGCAAGATCACTGAGGTCTGCCGTTCATATGCTCCTGGCTGTCCCTAGGTCCAGATTAAAGCACAGAGCAGACTGGGCCTTTGCTGTAACTGCTCCTAAATTGTGGAACAAACTGCCCTTTCACATCAGGACCTCTGCTGTGAAGGGACACTTTCAAGTTTGTACTACTTTTATTTGTCTTATATTTTACTCAAATCTTCTCATTTTATACTTCTTTTTCTTAAATCTTGTTTTGCTATTTTTATCTCTTGATTATCTTAAATGTACAGCACCTTGGTCAACTGGTGTTGTTTTAAATGCGCTATATAAATAAATTTGACTTTTTTTCCTCATTTGTCTTAATATCCAGCATTTGTGTAGTATTACTTTTGGACAAAAATGTTTATCCACAGTGTCATCACTTCCTCAGATACAAGACAAGCACAATTTAGACTTCTGCTGGTGCTTAACTGCAGCACACAATGCAAAGGTGTCATATGTGAGTGCTGGCAACCCTTTAAAAAACTACAGCTAAAACAAGGAGAGCTAAGACTACAACTGAGAACAATTCCACATTCAGACCATGAACAGCATAGACGTCAGAACCATTTAAAACAAAAACATTGCTCCTGAAATATAGTGGGTTGGTGTGAGAGGAGAGCTGACAGCTGGAAACTGAAGACATTATATTTAAGTTTCTATGCTGCTTGTTAACTGCTGTTTGATATTAAACACGACAGAGTGTTTGAATTTGTTCTCACATGTTAGTATTTTGCTCATGCATTTGTTTGGTGCTTACTAAAAAAAGTCTAAGCAGGTCAATAAAACTTCTCCATGGAGGAAGAACCCTGCCATCTGTATGACTATTTTATTACAAAATATATAGATCGTAAATATATAGATAGTAATGCGAGAAAAAAGTAATTGAATCCTTTCCTGAAAGCAGGACATTTAGCAAAATCAGAACTGATTTAACAGAATTTTTTCAGCATTTTCAAAGACATTTGGAACTTTCTGTGCGCTATTAGTTTAATCAGACTATATTATTACAATCTAATATCAGATTGTCAGATTCAAATTTCATGACCGATCAACAATAACATCTTGGTGCTTAGTGATAACAAACCTTTTCTTGTAATTGTATTTTAAAAGTCTAATCAAAATGTTTACTTTAATCTGACAGTGCAAAGTGGAACTGACAGACTGCTTTTCTTCTATATGATAAAATATCAACTGAATTAACAGGTTTTAAAAATTACTCCACAGTTTTGTTTCTGCTTCAAAAATTAATTTGCATGATTAATTAACAGTATAGTTTATATTATAAGATATCATAGCATCAAATGCGTTTCCCAGCAGCAACAGGTAATACTGCTATAGTACATTTTCAAGTATGTATAATGAATGGAAGCACATTGTGTGTGTGAGTGTGTGTGTGTGTCCCTCTCCGACCTTTAATCTTGACAGTGGGGGAGTTGGGTCCAGCAGACTGCTTCCTCCATCCCCTCCAGTTCTGACAGAGGCTCTCGGCCTCCGAGATGAAGGAGCAGAGAGAGTCTTCTTCAAATCGGTCCGAGTCTTCAAAGGAGAACCTCTCCCCATCCTCCCACTCGGCAAACATCAGTTCCATTACATCCACTCTTAAAGAGGTTAGGAGTCCCGGGACAGCGATTTGAGTCTACGGCCTTTCTGCCGTCTAAAAAACAAGGGGAAGCCCGACAAACAGTGCCCACAGCTCCAAAAGAGTCAGTCTGAACACTGGGGGAGGGGAGACCACTAACAACCAAATCACTGCCGAGAGGCTTATCGCCTCAAACACATACAATTTTTTAAAACAATGCTTTGAATAGTCTGCAAAAAATATATACAGCACAACTACAATTAATATTTGTCTACGTAGCTATTTGTGATTTCAGTCGGCATAAGCCACTGCGCAGAGGTGAAGCTTCCTTCCACACTTGGATTCAAAGCCAAAAACTCTGAATAGTGAAAAGTCTTTGACGGCAACTTTGCCGCTGAGATGCCCAACGACTCAAACTCACAAAGCAACGTTCCTGTCAAAAGTAGAAAATGAAAAACTCTCTCATCATAGAGCCACGAATAAGAATAGAAAACAGAGGTTAAAAAAAACGCTTGTTGGTGTAAATGTAAAGCCTCGTGAAGTCTCGAAGCGGTTTCGTTCATCCAGACGTCCTACTCTTTTCAGGCATTTAGCTCAACTCACACTGGGTATCAACATTAACTACTGCTGCATTATAACGATCCTGAAAGAGTCTTTCTCACAAGAAAGAAGATGTCAAACACCTGTGGTGTTAATATTGCAAAGTGTCTTCTCTGTTTCTCGTTTAATGAGCTAGTTTTAATGTCATTTTCATCTGCAATGGAAATAAGAATTAGCTAACGTTAGCAGATAGGCTAACAAATGCCAACTTGGATACTATAAACATGTCATGCGCTGTAGACAGTTAAACTACGATTAAATATCGTTTATATTTCCGACTACAGGCTTATTTTGCTCGATTTACCTTCGCTGTGCTACCTTATGTTAGCTATATGTACTAGCATTAGAAAGCTAACCTCCAGTCGGCTAAGTTCAACTAGCTTGAATAGCTGTTTGTTTACATTTACTGCTGATGTTGTACACCTTCCGCACATTAAGGACTACATACTTTCTTACATCGCATATCTTCCGGACTTAGGCATATATCTAGGTTACGCTTGTTTCATATTATGATCTAAATCCACGCTCTTAGCATTTTTTTCCGTTCTTTGTGCTGATATTAGAGGCTCTGTCTGACGTAAAAGCTGGCATATTCCTCAGTCAGATCTGATGAAGAAATTCAAACGAGTCCTTTAGATAGCTCCCTTCGCAACTGTCACCAGTTGTCCGTCTTAAAATCCTCTATGCCTTCAAATGACACCGGGATATCAGGATGATTTTTCCCTTATCCCACTCGTCAAAGCGTTATCAAAGTGTATCAACCTGTCTGCCGGGGGAAGATGGCTCACCTCTTCTACAGCTCCTCCTCGATCAGCTGATCACAGCTTCCGGTTGCCAGCTCTAGAACGACACCGCTGAGCCCGTTGCTGTAGCTCGGCTGGAGAAGCCTGCTGTGAGACGAGGCATTAACCAACTCGATACAGTTAAGCATAATGTATCGAGTATATCCACGTGTCATACTTAATCTGGGGTAATCAGTTTTGTCACTAATTAAGCCACTGCCTCCAAATTAATTATGCCACCACAGCCTCCAAACTTCAAAAGCCCGTTTTGTATTTGACAGCGACAGGGCTGGGTATCGTCACTGATTTCTAGAATCGATTCAATGCCGATTCACAAGGTCCCGAATCGATTTGATCCACGATTCGATTTAATTCGATTCGATTCAATTCGATTTGAATCTGGGAAATTTTGACAGCCAGAAATTTCCTGGCCTGGGATTTTATAAAAATATTCTGCAGTACATCAAAAACGAAAGAAAACCATTAATCAACAATGAACAATACAATCAACACATGAACAATACCTCTGAAATTACAGAGGTTTTATCAGAGACACGGCTAAGCGTTTTGCATTTTGCATAATTTTAAAAAGTTTAAATTTGTTCAGTATTGAATGGCAGAAATTAGGTTTTCTTTTTGGAAGTATATAAAACGGGGGAAAAAACACGTCGGTGAACAATTACTATTCTAAATGAATTATTATCCGTTATTTACCTGTGATTTATTATTATTATTATTTTGTTTGGTTTTTTTTTAGCAATTCTTTACCACAACAGTTCACACTTGTTCTATGAGCCTCTCTGTAGGTTTCTTAGGTCTAGTAGACCTTCTCAGTATCTCAGACATTGGGGAAGGTGAAGGAGGCTCACTGTGGTGCTCAACAGGGTTAGCACCTTGTTGTTCAGTTCCAGTCTCTGTGTCCTGATGTTTAACATCCTGTGTCTTTAACAGACTTCTCCGGTTTCTTCTTAACACTTGTCCATTCTCTGTCTGAACAGCAAACGATCTGGGCCCTACTTCGCTGAGAACTGTTGCTTTTTTGTCCCAGAAATCTGGACCTGCAATCCTCACAACATCTCTTTCCTGAAGCGGTTCCAGACCCCTTGCAGTTTTGTCATAGTTCATTTTCTGTCTGTGCTTGAGTTTCATCCTTTTGTCGGTCAGCTTGTCGTCATGTGCATTGTCATTTTCCTTGGAAATGTGTGGAAGTGTGGTGCGGAGCTTGCGATGCATGAGTAGCTCAGCAGGTGATGCCCTACACTCCAGGGATGAAGCTGTGTAGCTTAGCAGAGCCAAGTAAGGGTCGGTCTTACTGTCTCTTGCTTTTTTGAACAATCTCTTTACTATTTGGACTCCTTTTTCTGCCTGTCCATTCGCTTGGGGATACAAGGGACTAGAGGTGATATGTTGAAATCCATATTGTTTTGCAAAGTCACTAAATTCTCTACAGTCATATTGTGGACCATTGTCACTGATGACACACTGTGGAATTCCATGTCTGGCAAAAAAGCCCTTCATGTGTGTGATGCCTGACTGTGCTGATGTACTGGAAAGCTGTGCCACTTCTGGATAATTAGAATAGTAGTCAATCACCAAAACATAGTCCTTGCCATCCAGATGAAATAAATCCGTGCCTACCTTTTGCCATTATGCAAACTCTGTTCTGTACATTCTAATTCTGTTGTTTTCATTCAAACTCTGTTCTGTACATTCTAATTCTGTTGTTTTCATTCAAACTCTGTTCTGTACATTTTAATTCTGTTGTTTTGATTCAAATTCCATTGTTTTCATTCAAACTCTGTTCTGTACATTCTAATTCCGTTGTTTTCATTCAAACTCTGTTCTGTACATTCTAATTCCGTTGTTTTCATTCAAACTCTGTTCTGTACATTCTAATTCCGTTGTTTTCATTCAAACTCTGTTCTGTACATTCTAATTCCGTTGTTTTCATTCAAACTCTGTTCTGTACATTCTAATTCCGTTGTTTTCATTCAAACTCTGTTCTGTACATTCTAATTCCTTGTTTTTAATTCAAATTCCGTTGTTTTCATTCTAATTCTGTTTTTTTTATTCAAACTCTGTTCTGTACATTCTAATTCCGTTGTTTTCATTCAAACTCTGTTCTGTACATTCTAATTCCGTTGTTTTCATTCAAACTCTGTTCTGTACATTCTAATTCCGCTTGTTTTCATTCAAACTCTGTTGTTTTCATTCTAATTCTTTTTTTTATTCAAACTGTTCTGTACATTCTAATTCCGTTGTTTTCATTCAAACTCTGTTCTGTACATTCTAATTCCCTTGTGATTTCATTCAAACTCTGTTCTGTACATTCTAATTCCGTTGTTTTCATTCAAACTCTGGTCTGTTCATTCTAATTCCTTGTTTTCATTCAAACTCTGTTCTGTACATTCTAATTCCGTTGTTTTCATTCAAACTCTGTTCTGTACATTCTAATTCCGTTGTTTTCATTCAAACTCTGTTCTGTACATTCTAATTCCGTTGTTTTCATTCAAACTCTGTTCTGTACATTCTAATTCCTTTGTCATTCAAACTCTGTTCTGTACATTCTAATTCCGTTGTTTTCATTCAAACTCTGTTCTGTACATTCTAATTCCGTTGTTTTCATTCAAACTCTTAATTCTGTACATTCTAATTCCGTTGTTTTCATTCAAACTCTGTTCTGTACATTTCAATTCTGTTTTTTTGATTCTAATTCCATTGTTTTCATTCAAACTCTGTTCTGTACATTAAAATTCCATTGTTTTCATTCAAATTCTGTTCTGTACATTTCAATTCAGTTTTTTTTATTCTAATTCCATTGTTTTCATTCAAACTCTGTTCTCTACATTCTAATTCCGTTTTTTTCATTTAAACTCTGTTCTGTACATTTCAATTCTGTTGTTTTGATTCAAATTCCATTGTTTTTATTCAAACTCTGTTCTGTACATTCTACTTCCGTTTTTCATTCAAACTCTGTTCTGTACATTCTAATTCCGTTGTTTTCATTCAAAGTCTGTTCTGTACATTCTAATTCCCTTGTTTTCATTCAAACTCTGTTCTGTACATTCTAATTCCGTTGT